TTGATAAATATCTGAAACCACTGTTATTTTAAGAAAAGCAGATGACACAGTAAATCTGGAGCTTCAAACTGGCTAAACGGCAGATTAGAGCAAATAATGTCCAAGTTGGTTTATCCATCTCCCCCTTCTAATCTATGTGCAATTCAATTTAATCTGACATTTTGAATTGAGAAATCTTCCTGGATGGGAAGCGAAAAGTGTTATAAGTTGGTCTAAGTCTGAGGTAAGTGAGCGTTTTCCTGGTTCTGCTGCGGCGTAAACCTCTAAACAGCATCTAAAGGATAAAGAAGTTTACCTTCAGCACGGTGGATCCCATCTCCAGGCCCACCAGAATTGTCCTGTCCACCAGCTCCGCGACCTTTGGGTCCACCACCTTCAGGGAGTCCTGGACGAGGTCCGTGATGTCCACCTGCCAGTCGGGTCCCAGCATGGTGATCACCTGATCCGTGCCCTCTGTGGAAGTGGTGTGGAACTGGGTCAGCACTTTTACCATGGCTCGCTGGTACTGGAGGGCGCAGCCGCGATTCATTCGCCTGTCGTCATCGTCGTCATCTGCATCGCTGTCCCTGGTGCTCCTACGACAGAAAAAAAAAAGGGAAACACAACAAGATTTTAATACAAAATAGAAATCTGCTAACTGATGAAATCCCATAGGAGTTTGCTGGTGAAGATTCTCCGTCATCCAGGTCATAGTCATACCGAAAAAGTAAAAAAAACAATCACTGGACTTTTGTTTCTAAGTTTGAAGACGTTTCGCTTCTCATCCAGGAAGCTTTTTCACTTTAAAATGTCAGGAATAGCGTTGAGTTCCAGGATTTATACGGCAGCCCAACAAAGTCTTGTTTCTGTTTAGAAAACATGCAAATTGAAACGGACGAACGGGTCCACCCCTTTGGAATGGGCTGTCATTGGGCTCTTTGTTAGCCTGCAATACACGACACCTGTCTATGTCTCTGAAAGAGGAGTCGTTAGAGGGAATAGTTGACTTTTTGGGTCCACTCTATAAAGCCTTGAACTCAATGCTATTTAGGGGTGTCAACAATAATCGATTCAGCGATGCATTGCAATGCGGGGCATGCACGATTCAGCATCGATGCGGCAACGTGCCATAATCGATTATGCCACTGTTTATTTTCTGGCCTCAAATGGACAAGTTGTGAAGTTTCAATTACTTCCGGGGGCATACCAACAACAATCAAGATGGCTGAGGCGGAGGGAGATGACCGCGATAGACGGGTAGGCCTAATTAATAACGCAAAAAAAGCTTGGAAAGCAGATATCTGGGCACAAGTCAATGGGATTTTGGTGCATCGCAATGCATCGTAGAATCGAATTGAATCGAATCGTTACCCGGTGAATCGTAATCGAACCGAATCGTGAGGGCAGTGCCAATGCACACCCCTAATGCTATTTCTGACATTTTTAATTGAAAAAGCTTCCTGGATGGGAAGAGAAACGTCTTCAAACTTAGAAACAAGTTTTTGGAATCCCATTGGAGTGCAAAGATTTTAAAGGTATCTGTGTTTCAGAAATTATCCATCTTTAAAATTGCATTTAGTAAAAAAAGAGCCGATAAATAGAAAATCCTAATTCCCGTATTATTTGGTTCAAAACCAGAAATGCCCTGCAGTGCAAACTCATTCCTAACAATGAGCCTATTTCATAAGATAGGCCTTTTTTTCTTAAGGGAGTCCAATTACTGTATAATCTGACATCATAATACCTCCAAGAATCTTGGCACCTTTTGGAACAAATCAATCACACTATCTGCTTTGCTGGAGATGAAGTCTAAGTCCTCCAAGGTAGGAAAAAATAAATAATAAAAAAAAGAAAAGAGAAATCCCCTCAGAGCAGGATTCTGGATGGATGCCTGTTTTTAATCACAGGAGCCTGGGGGCAGTGAGGTCAGGCATGCCAGGTGCATCCCTCCCCACTAAGCACAATCTGCTCAACATCAAGATGTATGAGTTAGCCGACATCCCTCAACATGCTGCACAATCTGCCAGGTTAAACAGTTCAAAAGGCTCCCTTACAAACAAAGCAACTGTTAACACTTCAATGGATGTTTGAACTGAACACTTTAAATCAATGTTAATAATTTGCCTCTTTGCACCTCATCAATTTATCTATTACTTTAGGAAATTGTCAATAGATTCATACGAGCAAGATGTCCGATGCTAAGGAATAAGAGTTTCCAAAAAGGCACACATCCCTACAACAGAAAAACATCTAGCTTTTAAATTTTTTCAATGATTTTCCCTCCAAACAACCAGACTCTATAAAAAAGAACCTTCATGAAGCCACGAGAATTGGAATATATGAAAGATTATTATATATACGACTTAGATATAATATAGCACCTCAATTCAGTTTATTTCTATAGCGCCAATTCCCATCATGTCATCTCAGGTCACTTTCCAGTTCACCAGATCATCCAGTTAGATTGATTCTATCTAAGGAAAATCAGCTGATTGCATCGACTCCTTGACTCTTCAGCAATCCCTCACACTAAGCATG